TCTCTGTCGTAATTAAAAACTCTATGGATAGAACGAGAATGTGACGCATGTAGACATAAATGCATTAGGGAGTGTTGACTATTTTCAAGGGGCAAGTCCTCGACTTGCTCACTCATAAGTCCCATTTCTTCTTTTTACAAGGGTAGAATAGTATTTAGATAGGGTTAATTGTTTTTTAGCTTATTGTGGTTTTGACGAGAAATATCTTATCCGGTTAACGTTAAAAATTATGCGCATTACTCTTTTATAATTATATATTAAAGTGAAATCGTTACTTTTATCGTCCAAGTTAACAGAGCGTATTTTTCACGCCCAAAACATATTGTGAATTTTGTTTCAATTGTTTTCTTCAAAAAAAAAATATTATCTAAATGCCTAAAATACCCTTATAATATATATGATATAATATCCAAATGAGCAATACTATTGGGACTTAATTTATTAACTTAATTTACTATGAACTAGATTGACTGTGGATCTTATCAAAAATTGAAACTTAGTGTTGTTGATTCAATGATTCTAATGAAACCACATCATTATATCAACAAATTAGGTCAGATTTTTAAGTATGAATGACATTACTCTACCCAAATAGGTATGACATCGATCCCAAATTAAAAAAAAAATGAGTAAGCAATTTTTGATCCTAAATCAAAAGTCTCATTTGACAGAAGAGGGGACTTTGAATGCTGAAGAGTGAAAGATTTTTCGCTCAAACCTTAATAGTGATTTTTGTTTTGTGGACAAAAATAACAATTTTCTTTGTACTGCTTTGAAAATATTTAATGTATGGAAGTGAATAGACTAGACTGACAATGCAGATGGATCACTTAATATAATAAAAAATAATATGGATGCATATATATGGGACATTATGGGTGAATTTTATCGAAAGAGTACATTACAGTAGTTACCATGACTAGCTGACCAATATATTTTAAGTCAACCTTTTTTTTATCGAAAGAGTATATAAGGAGGGCCGGCCTTAGGTATAGGCCACTAAAATTATTATCTACCGTTTACTAATAAAAATCAAAATTTAAATCACTCGAATTGATGGTCTAGTGATAAATCGTACTCTTTTAAGGTTGTTTTTAACTCTCGTATAGTTGTCGAGCTGGATTTGGTCCACTGGAGTAACGCGGTTTGTAGCTTAATTTTGGTGGTGCTGTGGTGACAAATTATCCTTCAAAATTAATAACTATGACTCAAATCGAATATTTCATAGTGAAAGAGTCTCTCATGATCACGCCCAAGATAGATTACTACACCCATTCCCCTCTCTAGCACAACAACAAAAAAATAAAATAAAATAAAATTTGGGCCTTCACATGCAATAAGCTCTTTAACTTATAGTAGGTATGGGTGCATGATTTGTAGCTTATTTAACTTATGGTAGGATTGGGTGTATGATTTGTATTGACATACAAATAGTCATGTCATTATTGCTTTAAACGATAGTTGTAATTATACTTCTACTTCAAGAAGATTGAGTCGTTATGTTTCGCAAGATTAATCTAAATTATTATATGGTGACCTTTTTTTTTTTTTTGACCTTTCTTAGGATCAAACATGATAAGAGGATATGACATAATTGAATATAAAAAATTAAATAGGAATAGAATAGACACTCAAAAAGCTTTTTTTTTTATTTTATTTTTTATGTTAAAGAACTTTTGTAAACCCAAAACTTGTTCATTGGCTCGATTGATCTCTTTTTTGTTTTTTTGATTTGAAAAAAAGGGGAGAGACGATCAATAGATAGTAATCTCCCTTGAGCGTGATCGTGAGGGTCCTTCCACTATGAAATGTCCGGTTTTAGCCATAACTATTAACCCGAAAGGACTGCTCATCACCACAATACCACCAAAATTAAGCAACAAACTGCGTTATTCTTGTAAATCAAACCCGACTTGATTGATCTCTTAATCACAAAGAAATAACACTAGGCCACGCAATGAAGGTCGACCTATTATAGTGTTTGGGCCTGCCTTACCAAATGGTCAAGAAGTAATCAAGCTGCAACATTTGGACCCGTTCCAATGGCCAGCCCACTAACAATAGCTAAGAAGCGGGCCAATGGATTTGGATATGCAGGCCTTGTGAATCTTCTTCAGATCAACGGGCTTTCAAGAAACCAAAAATACCCGCTATTGAGCGCATCTGATAAGCTGCTACGGCTTTGATTGTGTTGTGGTGCAGCCACCTCTCTCTTTGGGCTTGTTCCTCAGACATACACTTGCTGCGAAGATGGAGATTCGATACATCTATAATAGGGGGACAAAAATGGGACGGTCGGGTTACCACAATAGAATAAAGGGCAGCTCATGACTTACCCAGTGGATCGACCATATGGCCTTTGGCGGACCACCCATTGGCTGGACTCTAACAAGCCTCAAATGGAACATAATTAATTTTTTTTTTTAATTTTATTATATGGATTTTACCGAAACAAATTTAGTTAAGGTGTATTTGATAACGTTGTCAGTGTTTTATTATTTCCTACGATAAAAGTTTAAAACAAAAAACTTGATTGATTGTCATTTCTTATTACAAAACTATCTATATAATAAAATAGCTTATAATTCAAATTTCAAAAGATAAATAAAATAATTTTTACTATTTGCGATTGAGATCGCTTTAAATTTTACTTTAAATTTAATCTAACTGCTAATATTAATAAGAAAAATAGGGCCCTAAGAATGTATTTGGAGTAACTTTTTCAAAATACTTCTAGAAATTATTTTTCATAAATATTTTTTTTTTAAAAATAGTGTTTGAAACCACCCCACCAACACCATCGCTATCGCCGCCGCCACCCCCCACCGGCACTGTTGTCGCTGTTGCCACCAGCACCACTGCCGTCGCCACCAGCACCACCATTACTGCAACCATTACTGCCACCACAGTCATTGCTACCCACCACAATCATTACCGTCTCTTACCACCACTACTACTGCCCACTACCTCTCACTTCCACTACAAATTGATGATTAAATTTTTTTATCTCTTCTTTATTGTTTACCATTTTTTATTACTCTGTGATTTCATATACAGACAATAACTAGTCTATACTATAAAATAGGGTAAGTTTCAATAAACTCGTCTGACAGTTTCAAATAAATTCATCTAACGGTCACTAATATTTCTCTCAAAATCATTTTCGGCCTTATTGTGTTAGTGCACATCTACAGATGATTTGATCAATAATCTTATTCCATTTAATAAATAAATTATTTATAAATTAAATTAATTTTAAAACAATACGATTTACACGACTTATCCTGCCGACAGACACACATGTTAGGTCAGAGTAGTGGTTTAGGTTTTGTTTGCATGTACAAGTTGTCCACCAACATCGTCCTTTTGCAAACCCCTTTTCAATCGTTCTCAAGATTTGTTTTCCGTACATCCCACGGCCTCTCTCGATTTTATCCTTTGATGTGAACGATACCATTGGATCTCTCCCTCTTGCTAGCTCGGTGCCTTTAAAGACTACGTTATTACAGAGTTATTCTTTTCGATATTATTAACAAATACTATGAAATGAAAAAAAATAATTATAAATTTAGTGAGGTAAATACAAAATAAAGTTACTTGAGGTCGATCTCACCATTTTAGAAAAAATCTCACTTTTTTTTAATAGTAAATTTACCCTACTAACTTGTAAGGGCGAATTATACGTCAAAGATTAATTTTTTTATATTTAACTCTCAATTTATTAAAAATATTATAATATGGTCATTTCGTTAATTTTTGTTACTTATTCTAACAACTTCAATAGGGTAGATTTTGACGGAATATAATGTCCACATTACAACACTTTTAATATATTGTGGATATAATGTGAGAAATCTCATTTTTGAGGGTACAAAGTAGAAAATTTTTAAATCTTTTGGGGTTAAAAGTGAGATTCTCCCAACTTGTAGCATGTCTTTTTTATTTGTAACTTTACCCCCAAAATGAATTCTAATTAATTTTTATTTACTTGTGGCTTTCGTCGAGTTTAAATATTAAGTTTATAATTTTAATAGGTAGCAATTGTGGAATAGCATATGTGTACTCGCTTCTATCTAAGTGGGGAGGAAAGAAACGATTGTACTCAGCTACAAAATTTTTTTTGTACACAGTGGAAAGTTGCATTTTTCTCTTAATTATATGGTTCTAATGAATCTTTTGGGTATATTTGGATCACGAGTTAAAAGTGGATAATTATGGTAGAATAAGATAAAAAAGTATGTAAGACTCGTATATCCCATGTTTGATAAATAAATATTGCATAAAAAATTATATTCAGATTTTATTCTGATCCAATTTGAAAAGTCAACTTTAACCCACCTACATGGGTTAAATAAAACCCAAGGGCTAAGATATTTTTTTTCCAGATAGGATATGTAATGCAATTTACGGATATGCCCACCTTAGGTCAAGAGCTTTTCATATCGTTTGTGATCGCCTCAAATAAGTCGTCGTTTTTTTCTCTTGCTCATGGTAAACGCCCTTGCTTTTTTATGGTTACATATATTTAAAAAATATTTATTTTATATTTAAATGAATTATTAAAAAAAATAGATGTGAAAGTGTATTTTTTTTTTGTTTAGAATGAGTTGGGGACTAATTTATAAGAGTAATATTATAAGGACCTAAAAGATGTGACTTCAATGTCACTGTTGAATTAGTTGCGAGTTCTAATGTTAGATAGAGTCCACTACCAATCTAATGATTGTATTGAATTAAGTCCCTAAATTATATCTAAATAACATTTTTCAATTTGTAAATCAAACATGGTGTTAAATTGGATAGAATAAGGGTATAATAGTTAATCAAAACAAATTACATCGCTCTTATCCATGGATTCTAAACATATAAGTTACAGAAATAGGGAACAGACTAGACATACCAATTTATATCTTATTCGGATGACAAATGAGTAAGTTTGAATTGGATATATATATATATATATTCAATCCACTCCAACGCTACTATCCAAGCATACCCTATTATGTTTTTAGGGCAGGAGTGGTCACTGGACCACTGTCTTTACTTTTCTTTTTTCCACTTTTAGCAGCAACTCCTCCAGCAATTGCTCCAGTGGCACTGTTGCCCACTAGAATGACAGTTCACAAACACCAACTCAATATGCCGATTAGTTTTTGTCCATTCCGATTATTAATGAAATTTTACAATAAGTTTATGGCTTTTTTGCATTCCAATAATCAAAGTATTTTTCTCAGGAATCAACCCCTAGTGGATGTAACAAAGGAATGATTACAACAACATAGTAACAGTATCAGGTCAAGTAAAAAAAAATTAGGCTGATTGTAAAACAACTAAACAGTGATGAAGTGAAATTAAGTCCAGAACAAATAGTTTAGAAAGGAAAGCAGAGAATTTCTTTCAAGGAAAAATGTTATTCATCATGCATAATAGACAGTTGGTGAAAGCAAAGAAGTACCAATGATGGCCAAGGACTCTGATGCAAATGCAATTTTTTTTTCTATAGTTGTCATTGCAGTTGCTTTGAAAAACCCATTTATGATGTTTCTTCAAGCATAAGTTCAGTAAGTAACATAAAAAAGAGTTACAAGAACAAGTGAATAAAAAGTCAGCCAAGTCTTCCACAGCAAAAATTGTAGGCAACATGCAAAGAAACTTTCAAGTATAAAAGAGGAGCTAAAAATGTAGGGGAAACACAGCAAAATCCAACATTTCCTACAATTTAGGCATGCAAATCATAGTACAAAGTATCTAAACAAACCTGAAGAAGAAGATGGTGGTGTTGGAGTAGCAGGAGGTGGTGGCAAAACTGGAGGAGGGTCCAACTGATTATTAGCAAAACTGAATGGGAACTTGGAAGTCAGAATAACATCTTATGGGTCAACCAAGTCTACCATGGATAAAAGATATAACTTGTAACATACCTGATAGGAGTGAAAAGTTGAAAGGAGCCATTGACTGGAGTTGGTCCTGTCAAACGGTTGTTTGACAGATCACTGCCTTCCACATGCCAGCCAACACAGCATAATGTCATATTCTCATAACACAATAATCTCCGTAAAAATAACCCACAAAGGAAAATAATTTTATATTTGAATAAGCCATCAACTCCCTACTTACAGAACTTGAAGTGAATTCACCGTGGTTAAAGACATAGGAATATTTCCCACCAAACTGTTGTTGTTAAGCCGACTATTCTTGCAGAGACAGCACATAGAACAGACACAATTAGATTCAAAAAATCACAGCTTCTGGCAAATATTACATTCCATACAGTCAAAACATTCATCCATCAACAAAATTGCAAAGAACACAATTCATCCACAATTTAAAAGCAAAAGCTCATAACTAAGAAAAATATAACTAACAGCGCTCGTTTTGGATTGCCAGCAATTTTTAGGACAATTTTTCCCTATCTGGATTACAGAACTTCAGATGACTCAGGCCATCAACAGGGGATGCATAGGTCGCTGTTACCATGGTTGTTTATGCCCAAAAGGGTGCCTGGTTTCACATGGAAGATGAGGTATTTAAAGTTGCACTAAATTTTACTTTGAATTCTGGTATGTAAAGAATCCATTCCCAAAATTTTCCAGCCAATGGTTACTATAAAAAAAGACCGCACACATTATGTACCTGAGCAACAGTTTCAATGCTAAGAGATGCAAGCATCAAGGAGAGTGGAACTCATGCAACTTAAGAACCACCCAACCCCCTGGGGGCGGGGTGGGGGGATGATAGAGAGAAATACAGACAGAAAAATGTCCGCATACATATATATATATCAATATTGCAAGGAGGAGGCAAAGAAGAGAAGTATTCTGAGTTGTATCTACGTAGAAAGACAAGAGCAACTGAAAAAATGAAGAGGAGCAACGGTTTTTTTTTTTTTTTTGGGGGGGGGGGGAGAGAACACTTCTAGAGGTTCTACCACACTTAAAAAAATCCAATTTATAGGCTTCATAGGACTCTAAAAAGACATAAAAATAAGCTATAAGTGATTGTACACCATAGGAGGAATGGAGGACAAAAGAAGTTTCAAATCTGTTTCTGAAAACAACTAGAACTACATTAATGTTGTTCAAAGAAATTTCCTACATCAATTGACAAATTATCTTCTATCAGGTCCTGCATAAACTTTGTGTATAAAACCCCCACTAGTCGAAGAGCTCAATCACGACTTTGCAATTCTTGTTAAAACTGAGAATCCAATTTGTAAATTTTAAAATTAACAGATTGTTTATGATAAATAGCTTTCAGTATAAGCATTCGATGGAAAAGACAATAGGAAAAATATTCGTCAAGTATTTAGCGTCAACCATAATTTCACTTAAATGTTGGTATGTACATAAATTACTGAGGAGACAGAGAGAACAAATCAAAAGAAACAGAAAATGTAAAAAGTTGTAAGAGACATACACAAAGAGAGATACATAAAGAAGCAAGGATAACTGAAATTTAAGCAAGCAGTTAAGACTTTGTCTTTGGATAAAGATAACAGAACAAATTGAAACACAAGAGATATCAAAAACCAAATAAACAAAAAAAAATTTTAAAAAAAAAAAGAAGAGAGGAGAGAAAAAGAGCAACTTTTCTTAACTTTCTTACATATTAATCATATCCAAGGATAATCCAGCTTTGTAGCAATAAAGGAAATTTATAGACATGAAAAACAGCTAATCACAACCAACCGCACATGACAACAGACAAAGCCTCGAGTTTCAATCACAAGACAGCTCAAATTTTTAAAATCATGAAGATCAGAGAAATATCCGTTATAAAAAGATTCCAATGAGATTAGCAATAATATGTACGAACTGATAGATCATACTCTACTGGATCTTGCATCCACAATGTGCATCCTCTTTGAAACTATGGTTCTATCGTCCTTTTCATCACACTTTTAAGAAGGAAAGTAGGAGAACTTGTATGAAGTGCGAAGGTCACAAAAAGAAGATTGCTTCCCACTATATACTTGCATTACGTCAAGAAATTCATGTAATCAAAAACTAAATGTCAAAGTTTCAAGATCTAATAAAAATTGTCATTGTTGCTTTTATTGTCATTGTTGTTGACCGAGAGATTCAATTATCATAAACAAGTGGATCTCATCATAACCCTGTAACTAGAAACATCAGCTTCTTCACAGCCAAATAAAGTTGGTTGCCAAAAATAACAGCAACAGATGACAGCCACCCGAAACTTTTGGAGCCTTTTGGTTTCTCAATGAGATGGCGAAGATTAGAGGCTAAGGACCACAGTTGTACAAAGTTGATAACTTCATATTTTTTTTCCTTTGACAACTTCTGAATCCATAGAAACAACTGTTTACTCTGACAGCATGATTTATTAAACAACTTCTAATTCCTCATTTTGATAAGTTTGACAGGCTACTTTTCATGCAAGGGGGCAAAAAAAATTTTAGTCACCAACAAATATCGTAATTGCCATCATTTTAATGATATATGCTAGCCATCAGATTGTATGTATTGGGATATCTACGTCTTCAAACAACACAAAAATGGCTTAGATCATGGAGTGGTGTTTGTTATATCACATATAACACAAGATAGCTGTCAGATTGTATTTGAACTTGGAATATATTTGGACAATTAGGATTTCAGTCAACATAAAGTTGACTTAGAACTTGGGTGGTATATTATATCTCAACTAATTGATCCCATGTTAAAAACTAGTCTTTTGGTTACCGACCAGAAAATATTCACATGAAACAAAACTTTGAGATTGAAGTAGAACAAGGAAATCTAATTAGTGAACAAACAGTGTATCTCAAAAGGAAGAGTTTACACCAAAGTTTTTTGAACAGGAGTACCAAAGCATCACAATTGTAGTTCATCAGACATATGTGATAAAATCAGAAATAGTGGACAAGCATGGGTATGCCAACAAGGAGGATTCCTAAACTAGTTAGCTTCTTATCTTTTTGCACAAGTGCGGTTGAGCACCCTACCGCATGGTAGCAGTATATGTTATTAACAGTACCTCTAATCTACCAAAAGCCCCTCCAATAATAGCAGCTCAATCAACAATCAAGTAATTTGCTGAAATTTAGATGTGTTTTGGTAGTTTGTTTGCACGCGTGAAAGTTCTACTAAGAAAGGCAACAACCAATATACTTGTTAAGAAGGTATCATACCTTTGGTACCCAGTCACACATTTAGCTAACCTTGGCTACATAGGAAACCAACATATATGGGCTCAATATTACCATGTCATGAAGGAGCTCCAATAATGTTTACAATGAATTTTCTAATTGAAATATGAGCAGTGGCAACTAAATCTTGATTATATTTTCACAGAAAAACCAGAGAAATTTGAAAATCAAACTAAACACACATTTGTTGCTCTAGGACCCACTGTCCAAGTCTAAATTGCCGCAAAGCTTACTCAAGCAAAATTTAAACAAGTTAAACAAATTAACTAATAAAAAAAAACCCAAGGATATGTCACCCATACAGGAAACGTAGTTTCTGAAGCTTGCCCAATGTCTCGGGGATGGGACCATTCAAGTTGTTCAAGTAAAGATCCAAGCTCACCAAACTTGTCAAGTTTCCGAGTTCATTAGGAATTCTTCCACTTATGTTATTACTAAAAAGTTCCCTGCAACAGTAGAACATTGTAGCATGTGTCATTTTATAGACCACGACATGCAAAGGAAGCAGATTTGCAAGTGAAGGAAAATAGTAATTACAAATCTATGACAAGCAATATTACTTCTATATCATAAAGAAACATGAGAGAAATCGGCCAAAGATGAAAACTTCTTGCCATGGATATTATTAAATTTCACATCTACATCCCAAGGTCAAAGTAATAAAAGGTACTAAAACAATATCATGTTTTTAAAAGGGGACGTGATGACAAGAAGTTCCAACTCAAATCTACATTCCCATGCTTGACAACCTTGACTTTTACTATTGCACCTAGCAGTGGCCCTTAATAATATCGTTTACATGTGCTCTGCCTGCGGTCTCCTAGAAGCGGCTGATAGATTTACTTTCTTTTAGAGAAGTTCCAAAAAGGACATCTGCATCTGAACCTCGTCTTACCAATATTAACTAATAAAACATGACTGTGTATTTTCAATAAAGTAAATGCAGTCATTCAAAGCTGTAATAAATTGTCTAAAAGAAGTTTAAGCAAATTTGATATAATCAAAAATGAAACGTCAATGAGCATGACAGGTAACACTGTAATAGCAACATTCATTCTTTACATTGGCTCCGAACCCAGTAGGAGGAACCTCCTCCCAACTCATGGCATGTCAAAATACGTGTTTAACTGTTCAGCAAACAAAATCATGCTTATTTCTTATGTCGTTCTAATTACAATATTTGATCTTATGCACTATCCTGAATAGAATTTTACTGCTAAAGGGACAGTCCCACCACCATTCCCAAATCACTTGAATTAAAATCTGCAATAAAAGCCTCTTACCCCCGAATGTTTCTGAAGTAACAAAGAATTAAAAATGAACAAATGGTCCCATTGGTCATTTTTGGCCTATTCTTTTACAATCATATTTCATCACAAAGCATTAAAAATGAGTAAGCAAGGAATGCAACTATGGTCACAAAAAATCGAAAGACTAATCCATTGTTAGCATCAAGTAGAATATGGGAATTACAATGATAGCTGTTTACACAGTGATTGCACTGTGTTAAAGTTGTACGAGGGTTCTCACAACAAGAATTAGAAGATGACAGTAATAGAAGTTAGTGGGGTTAGTAGTTTTATATTACAGAGTTCAATGGGGTGGGATAGAGATTTATGGGGTGGGAATTGCCCCACCCATTTTTTTGTGTCCCTGGTGATGTTCCATGTTTTGGGGCATAGGGAAAGGCAATGCTTTCCTATTGGACGTGAGAATAAGAAAATGGAAGGTGTGATGGCATAGGAGCTAGTGTCCACATCTATGGCTAACAGAGGTGCCGTTCAAGATAGTGATGGAAATTAATTGACAGAGGCCTGGGATTAAAATCATGTACTATGGTAACAGTGATAACATACCACCATCAAATGATAGTTATCAAGGAACATTTTTTAAACTTTGAAAGGAAAATAGGGAAGTGAAAACGAAAATAAATAAATTAAATCCCCACAGAAGCCAAATTAGTACATGGAAGCCTCTTATTTTGATATGTCCCAGTTCAGAGCTAATTATTTTTCTGCCTCAAAGCTAGAAAAGAACAAATGACATGATGTATTATCTGTTGTCCTGCATATAAATGTATATTTTGAAGGCAATAGTTGGATACATGTTTGCATGCATATACATGGTAACACCTCTGAAATTGACTAGTCATAGGAATGAACTAAAAGGCCTCCAGCATGTTTAACTAATACAATACAGCAGCACGGTTGATTATAGAGCAATAAGTAAGTCAGAAACTGTGATACAGCAGATGCCAATAAAAAATGTGCATCCCAAGGAAATTATGGACTTGCAATTCTCCCGGAAGCAAATGAGTCATCCACATTGTTATTTTTGGAACATCTTCAAATATACCCATTATAATCTATCAGCACCTTTCAGGAACTAAAAGAATAGGCTTTGGGATTGCAACCTATATGTATCCAAACCTAGAGGCTCACGATAGAATAGGTTGAAATTTATGGAAAGATTTGAAGTGAGTGAGACCTTTCTAAACAACAAATGACATACCCCTAAGTCCTCACAGTCCAGCACTAAGGCAACTGTCCTAAATTATAGCGAATAGAATAGTTACATTCCATTCTACATTATAATAATGTTGAAAAACCAGAAGGAGCTCATGCAACTACAGGTACAAGCACTAAAATAAAATCACAAAGAAGAACATTAGAAGCTAACCAGAATGATAAATTGTTGGGAGGAGAAGATATCTAGAAAGCCCAATAAGAGTAATACAGAATTGGAGCAAAATTTACATCACAACATTATCACGTACAAGTATTGCAAATATGAAAGCTGACCAAGCTGCTGAACCAGTTGACCAGACAAATTAGCGTTTCCAAGATCACTGAGATGAACAAATGCAAACATGTGTTAATCAAATGAAAATCACAAAGCAACACTATTTACAATTAGCAAGTTACATCACCAAAACTGTCAGAGAATTAAGGTTGCTTACACTCTAGTAACAAAATTATCACTGCCGCACGTGATGTGAAGCCAAGTGCAGGGATTGACAAGGGTAGGATCCCAACTTTGCAGAACATTGTTAGGATCAGCTAAGTTGGTCTTCAGAGCATTCAAGGCGTCACCTGTTTTACATAAATAAGTGAGTTATCAGGTACTGTTTCCACATTAACATCTAAAAACTATACCACCTAAAGATCGCAAGTTGTATAAGATGCCATTTTATCATTTCTTAGAGCCAGAACTTACTAATATAAGCAGGTAATGTTCAGTTATAATTTATTTTTGAGTTACAGTTATACAATATTGGTTGGAATTTAGAATTGTAATACGTATTTAAATTATCTTTTGCACAGTTACATATTTAGAGAGTAAGAACAAAATCCAATGTGGGAAATTAACAAAATCAGTATGCTTTTCGAGTTAATTGAAGAAACTAATGCACTGAATGCTGAATAAGAATTTGTTCAAAAAAAAAAAAAGGGTGCTGAATAAGAACAAATCCAACATGAACTTATTCATTCAAAACATCACAATCTAGTGGTGCAAAAAAACAAGTCAAAAAATCAAAAGCTTTACAACAAAGGGTCAACTGAATAAGAGCGCACACACCTTCGGCATTACTGGACACTCGAGATAACCGATAAAACACCAGAATTAAGCAGAGAGAGGCCGAAACCGACATCGAAGAGACCACCCGATCCATCATTCCCACAGCTAAAAACCTAGACTATGAACCGCATCAACTGCTTGTAATTATACCAAAAAAAAAAAACCTCCGTCCACTCAAGATCCGGCACAATATAAAAAACGAGAACAGATCTCTCCTCTTGGTGAACTCGAGTGAACCGGTTGAGCGACTAAACACGCTGCTTGGAACAGCCTGCAAGGTACGGTGATAATCTGGAACGGCAATGAGAGATCCTGGGAACGGAAGAACGATCCAGTAAGGCTGAAAGAGGTTCTTGGAACAAAGAAGAACAAGTTAGAAGGGCACCGGAGTGTTGCATACCCGTCTTGTCTTTTGTAAGGAGTATTTATACCTTGAAAACTCATGATTGCTGTCAGTGTGGACAGTAGATGATCATTAGGTACAGGCAGTGTGTGGACTGATTCTGATGAGGAATGTCTTCTCTTCTTAACTGCTTGGGGTCCCGAGCAATCAATGTTGTGTCATCGGGACGCCGACGGTACAATGTACTCCTCTCGGGGAGGATGCAATAAATGCTCTGTATTAGGAACATTTATTGTCTTTCATTTTCGAGCCTTACCGCATTAAATGCGGTCTCATCAAAGGAATGGTNCGACGGTACAATGTACTCCTCTCGGGGAGGATGCAATAAATGCTCTGTATTAGGAACATTTATTGTCTTTCATTTCCGAGCCTTACCGCATTGAATGCGGTCTCATCAAAGGAATGATGTAATTAATAGTTTGCTTTCCAAAGTCGCGTGTCAGCAACGACATGCGATTTTTCTGTTTTCGATGTGATATCATATGCCACGCGTCCATCCTTTATTGGCTGTGAGCTCTGCATTCCAATNTGCGATTTTTCTGTTTTCGATGTGATATCATATGCCACGCGTCCATCTCTTATTGGCTGTGAGCCCTGCATTCCAATACATTCTGACACTAATTGTGTAAGACGAGGTCATGATAAATAGCTTAGACTAGCCTAGGCTAATGACTTGCACGTCAACACCTTATCCTGGAGTAGAGGAAGCGTCCAGGACGGGTACCTCTCGGCACCGAGAAAAGGCCATCTCGGTACCGAGGGATGTATGCCGACCGAGGTACCATATCAGACCGATGCCACGTGTCGGATGTAAAATATACTGAATGCATGATCCTATATAACTGTGCCTCGGGGGCGAGGACGTTCGTGCGCCGATGGTGCTTGATCTTAGCAACAGTGTTTTAATAAACCGAAGACACGTGTCTTCATCATAGGGTATTTCAGAGAAGTCCCATCACCTCCGTCCACTCAAAAATTCAAAACACTCGATGAATCCCTAATTCCCAAAGCACCCAATTCATCAATCTAAAGAAAGAATGGAATCGAAAAGAAAAATTCAGAGCTCAGCAGCACACAGATGTTGGTACAGAAGAAAAATACTACAAGCAGTCAAACAGGAATATGCTTGGATTTTTCGTTTTCTTTGCCGGGAAAATTCCGTTCTAGCCCCGTTTGAGAGAGAGAGAGAGAGTTTTCAATTCAACGGCCTGTGGGGAAATGGTGGGGGAGGGAGGTGTAGAGTCGTTGCAGAGAGAAGGTGCTTAGTCAAAGCCCAGAGCGTCTCTGTCTAAAGCTAAAGCCAACTGGTAGTATAGAATTACCATTGAAAATAATTATTTATGCTCCATTTTTTAACCTTTTTGTTATTTGAGTTAGGGTTATTCTCCCTCCAAATATATTTATTTTTATCTCCGTCACATTTATTAGTATAAATTTAGTAAGTTTATCATCTATATAATAAAATAATTTATAATTTAAATTTTAAAAGATAAACAAATTGACTTTTGTTATTCGCACTTCAGATCATTTTAAATTTTATTTTAAAGTTAATTTAACAATTAATATTAAAACCCTAAATTTAATAGAAAAAATAAGTCTTTTAAGGATGTGTGTTGTAGTGATTTTTTAAAAATAATTTTAGAAATTATTTCGCATAAAATTTTTAAAATAAATAGTGTTTGGAACTGCCTCACCACAACCTCTACCCTTACCACCCCCACCCCCACTACCTTTACCACCACCACCATCGCTGCTGCTGCCGCAGTCGCCGCCACCCCTACGACCATTGCCGTCGCCGCCACAATCACCACCATCACTGTCTCCTACCACAACCACTGTCGTCCACTACCTCTCTCCCCTACAACAAACTGATGTTTAAATTTCTTTATCTCTTCTTTATGTTTGTAATTTGATTTTGAATATGAATACAAATATGTTTATTGTTTATTATTTTTTATTATTCTGTGCCTTCGGACACAAACAATAACTAGTATTTATATAAAGGATAGTGGTTTATCTAATTACTTCGTCCCGTCCTTTATTAAACCTTGAAATTACGGTTTCGAATCTCACAATTTCTTTCTCTTTATAATAGGCACACTTGATTGAAAAAAAAATCATATTTATATTCAATACATGAATAACTAAGTTCACTCTTTTTTTTTTTGGTACCATATATAACTTTTAAATATATCTTTACCATCTCACCACAAAACAACCCAAACAACTTCACTCTTCATATTGTTCTCCAAATTCAATTGCATCTAAATTATATACCTTCAAATCATAAAACCTATTGAGCTTGAATTAGGCAAAAAATTAGGGGATGAGATCAAAAATCCATGTTTCATGAATACAGCCAAGGGGATGAGATCAAAGTTAATTTCCTACCTGTTTTCTTGAGAGAAAGAAGAAGAAGAAGAGGAGGAGGGGCACTAGTCAAAGCACGCGCGTGTCAGACCCACCATCTCTGTCGTAATTAAAAACTCTATGGATAGAACGAGAATGTGACGCATGTAGACATAAATGCATTAGGGAGTGTTGACTATTTTCAAGGGGCAAGTCCTCGACTTGCTCACTCATAAGTCCCATTTCTTCTTTTTACAAGGGTAGAATAGTATTTAGATAGGGTTAATTGTTTTTTAGCTTATTGTGGTTTTGACGAGAAATATCTTATCCGGTTAACGTTAAAAATTATGCGCATTACTCTTTTATAATTATATATTAAAGTGAAATCGTTACTTTTATCGTCCAAGTTAACAGAGCGTATTTTTCACGCCCAAAACATATTGTGAATTTTGTTTCAATTGTTTTCTTCAAAAAAAAAATATTATCTAAATGCCTAAAATACCCTTATAATATATATGATATAATATCCAAATGAGCAATACTATTGGGACTTAATTTATTAACTTAATTTACTATGAACTAGATTGACTGTGGATCTTATCAAAAATTGAAACTTAGTGTTGTTGATTCAATGATTCTAATGAAACCACATCATTATATCAACAAATTAGGTCAGATTTTTAAGTATGAATGACATTACTCTACCCAAATAGGTATGACATCGATCCCAAATTAAAAAAAAAATGAGTAAGCAATTTTTGATCCTAAATCAAAAGTCTCATTTGACAGAAGAGGGGACTTTGAATGCTGAAGAGTGAAAGATTTTTCGCTCAAACCTTAATAGTGATTTTTGTTTTGTGGACAAAAATAACAATTTTCTTTGTACTGCTTTGAAAATATTTAATGTCTGGAAGTGAATAGACTAGCCTGACAATGCAGATGGATCACTTAATATAATAAAAAATAATATGGATGCATATATGTGGGACATTATGGGTGAATTTTATCGAAAGAGTACATTACAGTAGTTACCATGACTAGCTGACCAATATATTTTAAGTCAACTTTTTTTTTTATATATAAGGAGGGCCGGCCTCAGGTATAGGCCACTAAAATTATTATCTACCGTTTACTAATAAAAATCAAAATTTAAATCACTCGAATTGATGGTCTAGTGATAAATCGTACTCGTTTAAGGTTGTTTTTAACTCTCGTATAGTTGTCGAGCTGGATTTGGTCCACTGGAGTAACGCGGTTTGTAGCTTAATTTTGGTGGTGCTGTGGTGACAAATTATCCTTCAAAATTAATAACTATGACTCAAATCGAATATTTCATAGTGAAAGAGTCTCTCATGATCACGCCCAAGATAGATTACTACACACATTCCCCTCTCTAGCACAACAACAAAAAAAAAAAAATTTGGGCCTTCACATGCAATAAGCTCTTTAACTTATAGTAGGTATGGGTGCATGATTTGTAGCTTATTTAACTTATGGTAGGATTGGGTGTATGATTTGTATTGACATACAAATAGTCATGTCATTACTGCTTTAAACGATAGTTGTAATTATACTTCTACTTGAGTCGTTACGTTTCGCAAGATTAATCTAAATTATTATATGGTGACCTTTTTTTTTTTTTGACCTTTCTTAGGATCAAACATGATAAGAGGATATGACATAATTGAATATAAAAAATTAAATAGGAATAGAATAGACACTCAAAAAGCCTTTTTTTTTTATTTTTTTTTTTATGTTAAAGAACTTTTGTAAACCCAAAACTTGTTCATTGGCTCGATTGATCTCTTTTTTGTTTTTTTGATTTGAAAAAAAAGGGGAGAGGCGATCAATAGATAGTAATCTCCCTTGAGCGTGATCGTGAGGGTCCTTCCACTATAAAATGTCCGGTTTTATCCATAACTATTAACCCGAAAGGACTGCTCATCACCAAAATACCACCAAAATTAAGCAACAAACTGCGTTATTCTTGTAAATCAAACCCGACTTGATTGATCTCTTAATCACAAAGAAATAACACTAGGCCACGCAATGAAGGTCGACCTATTATAGTGTTTGGGCCTGCCTTACCAAATGCTCAAGAAGTAATCAAGCTGCAACATTTGGACCCGTTCCAATGGCCAGCCCACTAACAATAGCTAAGAAGCGGGCCAGTGGATTTGGATATGCAGGCCTTGTGAATCTTCTTCAGATCAGCGGGCTTTCAAGAAACCAAAAATACCCGCTATTGAGCGCATCTGATATGCTGCTACGGCTTTGATTGTGTTGTGGTGCAGCCACCTCTCTCTTTGGGCTTGTTCCTCAGACATACACTTGCTGCGAAGATGGAGATTCGATACATCTATAATAGGGGGACAAAAATGGGACGGTCGGGTTACCACAATAGAATAAAGGGCAGCTCATGACTTACCCAGTGGATCGACCATATGGCCTTTGGCGGACCACCCATTGGCTGGACTCTAACAAGCCTCAAATGGAACATAATTAATTTTTTTTTTTAATTTTATTATATGGATTTTACCGAAACAAATTTAGTTAAGGTGTATTTGATAACGTTGTCAGTGTTTTATTATTTCCTACGATAAAAGTTTAAAACAAAAAACTTGATTGATTGTCATTTCTTATTACAAAACTATCTATATAATAAAATAGCTTATAATTCAAATTTCAAAAGATAAATAAAATAATTTTTA